ATAACGAGGGGCAGCTTTTTTTGGGGAAGCCCCCCTGGGGCTCAGGGCAGTGAAGTCCATGAACATGGGTCCCCGGGGGCAGGGGGGGCAGCTCCCCACCAGGAGAGGGGGGTAAAAAGGAGCGGGTTTTCCCCCCCAAGGGTGGGGACACCAGCTTGCGAAAAGAGGGGGTTTTGCAATCGCCCCGTGCCAGCTTTTTCCCTTTTTTTTTTTTTTGCCCCCCCCCCCCCCCCCCGCGGTTGTGCCACGTGACTGACGGCATCTGTGAAGCATCTAGAGGAAGATCGCCGCACCACGCCGCCGCCCGCGCTGGCCGCAGCGTGGCGAGGGCTTCCTCGACCGTCGCGGCGTAGGCGGAGTCGAGGGGCGGACCGACGATCCGCAGCACTGCCGCGCCTGGAGAGAAAAAGAAACACGTGCACGCAAGAGGAATCCTCCTCCCGACGATCCGCACTGCCGCGCCTAGGAACAAAAGAAGACGCCTCGCGCGGAAGAAGGAGCGCCGTGGCCGACGATCCGCAGCACTGCCGCGCCGCCACGAAGTCGCCAGGCGGCGACGGCGGCGGCGGCGTAGAGGACGTCCTTGACGGGCCTCAGCCCTGCGGGAAGGGGGGAGCTGAAGAGCTGGGTAATACGGGGCTGTGCATTGAACTCGAGGAAAGGAGGAGGAGCTGCTCTGACAGTCATGGGACATAGGAAGAATGACATAAGGAGGAGGAGGATGGAAGAGGGTAAGAAGAATACCGACCCATTTCAGCCTGCAGGGAGGAGGAGCTGCTCGTAAGTGACAGAAATGAGAGACAAGAATCGAATCCAGTTCAGCCTGCAGGGAGGAGGAGCTGCTCTAAGTGTCAGTAACGAGAGAAAGCAAGAATCCTCTTCCATTCCAGGCCTGCAGGGAGGAGGAGGAGCTGCTCTAAGTGGCAGTAACGAGAGAAAGCAAGAATCCTCTTCCATTCCAGGCCTGCAGGGAGGAGGAGGAGCTGCTCTTCAGTGACAGAAATGAGAGACAAGAATACTAATCCAGTTCAGCCTGCAGGGAGGAGGAGGAGCTGCTCTAAGTGTCAGTAACGAGAGAAAGCAAGAATCCTCTTCCATTCCAGGCCTGCAGGGAGGAGGAGGAGCTGCTCTAAGTGTCAGTAACGAGAGAAAACAAGAATCCTCTTCCTTCCAGGCCTGCAGGGTGTCAGTGAGAGAAAGCAAGAATCCTCTTCCATTCCAGGCCTGCAGGGAGGAGGAGGAGCTGCTCTAAGTGTCAGTAACGAGAGAAAGCAAGAATTCTCTTCCATTCCAGGCCTGCAGGGAGGAGGAGGAGCTGCTCTAAGTGTCAGTGAGAGAAAGCAAGAATCCTCTTCCATTCCAGGCCTGCAGGGAGGAGGAGGAGCTGCTCTAAGTGTCAGTGAGAGAAAGCAAGAATCCTCTTCCATTCCAGGCCTGCAGGGAGGAGGAGGAGCTGCTCTAAGTGTCAGTAACGAGAGAAAGCAAGAATCCTCTTCCATTCCAGGCCTGCAGGGAGGAGGAGGAGCTGCTCTAAGTGTCAGTGAGAGAAAGCAAGAATCCTCTTCCTTCCAGGCCTGCAGGGAGGAGGAGCTGCTCTAAGTGTCAGTAACGAGAGAAAGCAAGAATCCTCTTCCATTCCAGGCCTGCAGGGTGTCAGTGAGAGAAAGCAAGAATCCTCTTCCATTCCAGGCCTGCAGGGAGGAGGAGGAGCTGCTCTAAGTGGCAGTAACGAGAGAAAACAAGAATCCTCTTCCTTCCAGGCCTGCAGGGAGGAGGAGGAGCTGCTCTAAGTGTCAGTGAGAGAAAGCAAGAATCCTCTTCCTTCCAGGCCTGCAGGGAGGAGGAGGAGCTGCTCTAAGTGTCAGTAACGAGAGAAAGCAAGAATCCTCTTCCTTCCAGGCCTGCAGGGTGTCAGTGAGAGAAAGCAAGAATCCTCTTCCATTCCAGGCCTGCAGGGAGGAGGAGGAGCTGCTCTAAGTGTCAGTAACGAGAGAAAGCAAGAATCCTCTTCCCCTTAGGCCTGCAGGGTGTCAGTGAGAGAAAGCAAGAATCCTCTTCCATTCCAGGCCTGCAGGGAGGAGGAGGAGCTGCTCTAAGTGTCAGTAACGAGAGAAAGCAAGAATTCTCTTCCATTCCAGGCCTGCAGGGAGGAGGAGGAGCTGCTCTAAGTGTCAGTGAGAGAAAGCAAGAATTCTCTTCCATTCCAGGCCTGCAGGGAGGAGGAGGAGCTGCTCTAAGTGTCAGTGAGAGAAAGCAAGAATCCTCTTCCATTCCAGGCCTGCAGGGAGGAGGAGGAGCTGCTCTAAGTGTCAGTAACGAGAGAAAGCAAGAATCCTCTTCCATTCCAGGCCTGCAGGGAGGAGGAGGAGCTGCTCTAAGTGTCAGTGAGAGAAAGCAAGAATCCTCTTCCTTCCAGGCCTGCAGGGAGGAGGAGGAGCTGCTCTAAGTGTCAGTAACGAGAGAAAGCAAGAATCCTCTTCCTTCCAGGCCTGCAGGGTGTCAGTGAGAGAAAGCAAGAATCCTCTTCCATTCCAGGCCTGCAGGGAGGAGGAGGAGCTGCTCTAAGTGGCAGTAACGAGAGAAAACAAGAATCCTCTTCCTTCCAGGCCTGCAGGGAGGAGGAGGAGCTGCTCGCCCGCGCGCACGTCGAGCCGCGCGAGGACGGCCGCCTACCATGCAGTGCCAATCAGTCGTATGCGGTGCCAATCAGTGTCCTATGCAGTGCCAATGAGTGTCGTATGCAGTGCCAATGAGTGTCCTATGCAGTGTCAATGAAATGAGTTGCAGTGCCAGTGAGTCCTATGCAGTGCCGATGAGTGTCCTATGCAGTGTCAATGAAATGAGTTGCAGTGCCAGTGAGTCCTATGCAGTGCCAATGAGTGTCCTATGCAGTGTCCATGAAATGAGTTGCAGTGCCAATGAGTGTCGTATGCAGTGCCGATGAGTGTCGTATGCGGTGCCGATGAGTCCTATGCAGTGCCGATGAGTGTCGTATGCGGTGTCAATGAGTGTCCTATGCAGTGTCCATGAAATGAGTCCCATGCAGTGCCAGGGAGTCCCATGCAGTGCCGATGAGTGTCCTATGCAGTGTCCATGAAATGAGTCCCATGCAGTGCCGGTGAGTCCCATGCAGTGCCGATGAGTCGTTCGTCGTGCATTCGTCCTCAGGAGAGGAGAAGGGGGTGGAGGGGAGGGCGGGGGAGGGGAGGGAGGGGGAGGGGAGGGAGGGGGAGGGGAGGAGCGCAAAGACGAAACACGCCTCCTCCAGCGCCAGCGACGCCTCCGCCGCCCCTCCGACCCCGCCGCCTTCCGCCGCCGATGCGGCGGCGCCAGAGTCGTCGCTGCGCGCGAGCGGCGGCCGCGGAGGCACACAGGCGCGTATGGCTTGCGGCACGAGAGTGCAGCGCGGCGCGACGGCGGGTAGCGCCTCAGTCAGCGGCGCGAGCAGCTCCCTCGAGAAGGCGACGACGGCGCCTGCGCCGCCGGCCGCTGCCAGCATCACCGGCCGGCGGTGCTCATCTGCCATCATCACATTCATGTCCGTTCCGCCGAGGACGAGGACGTACGGGACGGCCGAGCCGACCAGCAGCCGGCCGCTGCGATACGCGTGGATCCCGACCACCAGCGAGACAGCATCCGCCGCGACAAACGCCGACAGCTCGCCTGCGGGCCGAGTCAAGGCCGTGGGGCGGAGCGCGTTAATAACACCGTCGGGCAGGCCAGCGCGTGGTGATGCGACCAGTGAGGGCCAGCAGAGCTCGCCCTCGGCAGCGAGGTCGTGGAGGTCTGATGGAGTGTGTGTCTCGCGCCGGCGTCAGCAAAGCCGTTGGAGTCGCGGCAGAGGCACTCGTGCCCGCCCGCGCGGATGCTCTCGGCAAGGCGGGCGGCGGTGATGGCGTTGCCGGTGGCGGCGCGTAGGGAGGAGAGGACGAGCACGCGGCCCATCGCGTCTGGCGCGCTCGCTCACTTGCCGCCCATTGCTTTTTTTTGAGAGCGCCTGCGTTGTTAATATTGCTTTTTGAAATAAAACACTTTCGGCCGCGCAAGGGCGCGTCGCTCCATTTCCCGCGGCCAACACCCACGACCAGAAGAGGAAGCCTCGGCGAGACGCTGCCCACCAAGGTCACTCGATGGCTGAACCGTGGGGTTGTCGAGGTTGTGCAGCCGGCCGGCTGTGAGTCACACACACCGTGTATCGCGCGCCTTGCGGGGGGGGCGCGGAAAAGAGGAACCTCTTAGCGCCATCGCCACGGTGCTGCATGCAGCGCCGGGCGACGACGGCTTACCGCCTCCCGGTCCCCCTCGGCACACCTCCGCTGCTCAATGTTTGACGGCTCGAACCCGTGAAGCTTCCCCGTGCGCGGGTTACCCCGCACACGGGTCAGCCTGCCAGCCACGTATCCACGCAAGCGTGGTCCGCGTGCATGGCATACAGGCGTCCGCCAGACAGCGCAGAGGCTAGGCGACCGGGGAAGGACTAGCTCAAGGGCAACACAGCGTCACCAGCCGTTGGCGCGCAGAACGAGTCTGCGGCCCTCGGTTGGGACGAGTGCGCGACGCGGTTGAACCGCTCAATATGGCCGGCAGCTCGCGCTGCCGGCGGGGTTGGTTGGGGAGAACCGGCCGGCTGCGTGCGAGTGTTGAGTCCGCGACCGGGACCGGCGCCTTGCCTGGTTTTCTGCCGCCCGACGAGCAGATGATGGCATCCAAAAGGAATTTATTGGAAACGGAAAAGGAACGACCGCAATGAGAGTCGTGATTTCTTGTTGGTTAATAAAAATCTCTCCCACTCGCGAGGGCGGTACCAAAACAAAAAAGAAGACGACTCGCAGAGAGCCAAAGTAAAAGCACAGGCAAAAGCTCTTCAAAGTCTGGGGTGCTCACCACTACACTACAGGAGGACAAGAGCGGTCGCTCAATGTCGGAACCTCCCGGAGGGATTCGAACCCCCGATACCAGATGCCCCTGAGTCTTCGAAATGGCCGCGGATCGACCACGCCATGTTGCACTCGGGGTGGAGGAAATGGTGACTCATATACCTCGAAGAAAATGGGAAGGGAAAGAGAGAGGAGAGAGAGAGAGAGGGAGAGAGGGAGAGGGGGGGGGGGAGAGAGGGGGGGAGAGGAGAGAGTGGGGATTTAGTGTTGAGGAGGATTTAGGATTCGCGTGTTTGAGGTGCTTATTGTGTGTGGGGCGAGATTTCGCTGTCGGTCTGGTCGCTTTTTTTGTGCAAGGGGCGGGCGGCTCCGGCTCGCGGCTAGCTGCGCTGAGGCGGGCCTCGCAGAGTGGGTCGGCCGCACCCCGCTCGCAGCGCCGCTCCGCTCGGCGGCGCTGGTGCTGCTGGCGGCGGGCGGGGACACCATCGCCCGCCTCCCCGCCCCGGCGGCTGCAACTGCCCCCAGCGAGGATGGGGACGAGCCTGGCCGGTCCGCGCCTAGCCACCAGCAGGCACGCGCACCCGCGCTGCCACGGGCACGGCTGGCAGAGTGCGCCGCCGCGTCGGTCGCCATGCATGTGTGGGTCGGCGCCGCCGCAGGAGCGTCGCTGGCCTCGTCGGTGCTCGCGTCCCTCTGGCTCTCGAACGTGTTTGCCGTCGCCGGCGCGCACGTCGGCGCGCGCGCTGCGATGCGGAGGCGCTCTCGCGCGCGGCGCATCGTGGCGGGCTAGCCTACGCCGGCCTGGTTGCGGGCACGCTGGTGTCGCAAAATGTTGACAATTTATGATATAAATCACAAACTCTTGATAAAAACCCCAATGTTCTGAATCAAGCATTCCGTGCGTGCACCAGTACGCCGGGCCTTTTTGGCACGCTCGCTTCGATGCCCGTCCTCTGGCCCCTGGTCTCGGGTTCGATTCTGCCGGGGTGAGCCTCGCTGGTGCGGGGTGCAGACTTCAAATCTGTAGACGCCTAATAAGCGTAATCGTTCGATTCGATCTCACCGGCGTTTTCTTCGCTTTTTTCAATTTCTCCTAGGCCACCCTGTGGGCGAATGCGCGTAAGCAAGAAAGAAAGAAACTGCGTATGGGAGGACGGCACGCCGCCATCACACAGGGGTTAAGGAGAGGGGTGTGGTGCGCTAGCCGTCGCCACCCTGGGGCGTCTGCCTCGAGCTCGAATTCTTTCTTCGTCGCTTTGGCAGAGCCTTTGCTGGCCATCCTCCGCGCCTCGCCGATGGCGTCGCACGTGGCGTCTGTGGACGCGCCGGTGCTCCGGCCGTCCGAGGAGGAGTGGAGATCACCGCTCGCCTATCTGCGCTGCCATCGCCAGCTGCTCTCTGAGTACGGCGCCGTCCGAATCATCCCGCCAGGCGCGCAACCCGAGCGCGGCTCCGCCTCCTCCGCGCCTCCAGCCGCGAGCGCCCGGCGCCGTCACGTCGCACGCGCTCCGTGCGGCGGGCCCACACGCCGCCCCGCGCTGCCCGGCGATCGTTCGCACCCTCTCTCACCCACCTACACACCTCTGCCCGCCTCGCGACAGCCGACTGGAGGCCGCCGGCGGTGCTCGACGCTCAGCGGCTGCGGCTCAAGCCCGAGCTGCAGCGCACCTCCGAGATCGCGGAGCGCGACATCGCGCGCGCCAACTTCATGGCGCCCCCCCTCCCCTCCCCCCCAACACCACCACCCCACCCCAGCCCTCGTCTCCAACGCGCCCCCTCTCCCGCCCCATCCTCCTCTCACCACACCCCTCCCGCCCCCGCACGCTTGCGTCTCTCGCCCGAAGCTGTCGGCGCGCCGCGCCCCCCGCCGCGCGAAGCCCCTCCGCCCAACCGCCCGCAGGCATCCCTCCGCGACTTTCTTTCTTCCATGAACACGCCGCTGGATAATAGCAATC